TTTTTTTTTTATTTTCTTTCTTTTCATCATCGCCGGATGCACTCGTACCGGGTCAAATTTGATTTTTCAATGGGCCGGATAAGGATGTTAGTTCTCTCTTTTTTTTTCTCTCTCTATTTTTTTTCAACAAAACTTTGGAAAAGAATTTCGGGGGAAAAAACGAAGGTCTACTCCTCGATTCGAAAGAGAAATTTCTTTCGTGAAATTTTAAGGCTTCGAGCGAAAGTATTAGCGTGGAAATTCCCTCGCGATGAATCTTAAAAATCTTTCTCGGTGTTCCGCGCAAAGTTTCCGTAACGTAATTCTCAGCGTCGAGGGGTTAATTGAGATAATTTGGAAACTTGGCTCTGGTTCGTCAATATTTTCCCAAGTTAAAGTTCACCACTTCATTGAAGCAATTACCGTAAGAAAAACATCTTACCAACATCGCATAGCCATCTTTCCACCAGACCCTCCAGATTAACTGGCTGGATAAAATCGACATATTCTCCTTCGTTGGAATTCATTGCAACAGCCAAATTCTTTCCAGCCAGAGACTGTAAAATCACATGAGTATTCTTTTATTTATTTCTCATTAAAATATGTAATCCCTGTGCCTTGCTTTGACAAAGTCCAAAGTTTCCATTTAATGCGTGCTAAATTTTTAACCAAAACCAGAATTTTTGAAAATAACGCATAGTAAATGGTTTTCTTAAAATTCCAACAGATAGATTGCAAATTTTTACGAGAATTTCTATATTTTTTTTCTTTTTTAATAATCAAGAAAGTAGAATCTAGATGGAGATTTATTTCATCTAGATTAAATATTGTACCACACTGTATTCTATCCTTGACGTTTCATATATTTTTTTATATCATGCGCGTCCTTTCGATTTCGTACAAATGCAGGGAAATCCGCAGTTTAGAACTGAAGACTAGAGTCTTATCAAAGAATGCTATGAATCTTTCCAAATCAGCCGGAAAGCAAAATATCGTTTATCTTTAAATCGAAATATCTTTAACGAAGGAGGGACGTGTAGGGTTGAACAGCCAAATGCAAATTAAATCTACCTTACTCAGGGTGAGAAACTTAATATTCTCGAACAGCTTTTTAACATGTTGCTGTATCAGTTCAGGCCTCTTGGCGTTCGCCAGTATCTCCAGCAGATCGTCGTTCGAAATGAAATAAAATCTTGGGAACACGTGCCGTTTGGTCTCCAGATATTGTTCCAGTCCGCGTTGCATCGACTCGATTTTAGCAGTGAGCTTATTAAAAACCTCCAGCAGACCAGCTACAAAGACAAGATAAAAGTTAAATGCAGGGCTTGGTCGGAGAGAAAAAAAAAAAAATGCAAATGCTCCCCGTGGATCGGATTTATAGTATTTTATAGCGCGTCTTTCGCGTCGTATATTTTGCTTTCTCTTCCTTATTCTGGCGCGATTCGCCTGAATATTACGAACAGCCTGCTTGAATTACAATGCATTACGCGTTGTAACTTATGTTTTAAAGATTTCCTTCGGCATAGGTCTATAGTTTTGTTTCTTATCTAAAAGTATAAATAAATTTTCTAAATGTGATTTTAATGCGATTAAAACTGTCTTCCAATATTGTTATTTCAGTGATATTATTTTTAATATTGTATCATGACAGATTGGAATAAATTTTTTTCCTCATCTTGGGATATCCTGCATTCTTCAACAAATTTTGCTGTTTTCTATCGAAATTTAGAAATTTAAGTCAAATTTATATACCGTACTTTCCTCAAAATCACCATATTTCTTTCTTTAAGTCAATTATATTGTATCAATCTGAAAAATTCGAACGAATCACGTAAAGTGCTACTGTTTTTTTTTTTTTGTTTCTCTAACTATTATTTTCAAGTTTCAGCTACATGACTTCTCCAAATTGGAATTCTCCGAGCCATGTTTTTCTTTTTTCTTCTTGGATTTCTGAAACCTGTTCGTTTTCTGGCGATACATACGTGGCTCGTGAGTGGCTTGCAGAGCCAAACCGTGGCATGCCATCCGCGACGTAATTTCAATCCACTGATGAGTCAGTTTGTCGTAGTCGTCAGCCTCCTTGGGGAGCTGTTTCCGGATGTCTTCCGTGGTGAATATGTTGTCCATGTGCATGTAACCGCGTTGAATTAACAGGGTCGTTTCGAGGACCTCCCCGATGGTCGAAAGGGTCCTCTCCCAGTAATCAACTTCCTCGGCAAACGGTTCGACGAACCTGTAACACTTGCACATGGAGTATGTCCATCGAGTACTGACTTACAGCGCGTTAGATTTATCAAACCTGGTTGCCTTCATGGCTGATAACTGGATTTGATGATCCTCCAATGTTTGCATTATGTCGTCGATAGATTTTATCTTGAATATTCCCTTGTCTTTGTAAGGGATCATCTCTAAAGGCATGTGTGCCCAGATCTCGGAAATCTTTTTCAGACTCTGAAAAGTTGACACGATTTTTTTTTTTTTTTTAGTTCACTTACGATGTTATAATAATATAAATATAAATACTATGAAAAGATATGTAGCAATCATTATAATAATTATATAAACATTGCACAAAGATGTATATTTCTTTGTTAAAGTAATATTATTACTTATTTATTCATTTGAGTTTATTCCAAGATGGTCACATTACTGAAGTCATTAGTGAACCACAAGAAGTACTATTGTTAATTTCTATTAAATTTCTGTATCATACTATTTTTCAATAATTTGTTATTATTCCAAGTGGACCAAATGCACAAAATTGTTTTCTGTAGAAAAATTATTTTGTAATAATTATTATCATCATTCACAGTGTAATTATTACATCGATTGTTTAATGTTTCAAGAACATCAATTTTGTTTCCTGGTTTGTAAAATTTTTACAAACCTCTTTTTTTTGTAAAATTTACAGCAAGTTCTCTCTTTATCTTTTTTTCTACTTACAACTTCAATATTCAATTCCATAGTAGCAGCGTTTGAAATATCGTTGATCTGCTCGGCATAATTCTGCAGTTCCATCTCCACGATGGTGTCAAGGGTGAATTCCGCGGAAGTTTCGTCGAAATCACGGTCCACGATTTCCTTCACTTTCTTCCAGTGTCTAGGTCTCATCGCTGGATTCTTCAGATCGGTAATCAACGGCAGCGTGCGTTTGAATTTGTCCACTTTTGTCCTGAAAAATTTCTTATTCCCTGCGTACTTCGTTGTTGAAGTGAAATTTCAACAATTTAATGAAAAGAAAACTGAATAAAAATCTTTGATCATGTACGATTAATAATGATAGAGAAAACTGTAATGATCAAGTATATTATTATTTTTGTTTAGCAACTATTTTCTATTACTGGACCACGAATTAATGAATTAAAATAACTATTTATTAATATGATATTTATAACGTGACTTACAATGTGATTTTAGAAGAAGCAGAGCGACGAGAGAATGTATAAAATAAAATTTTTATCGTTACTTTGAACGTCGAGCAATCAACAGGTTTTCGAAATACACGTTCTGCCATTAATGAAAATGCAATATTAAAAGAATCGAAAGATGAACAGGATAGAAGTTCTACTGTTTGTACCTCGAGTGTTCGACGATTTCCCAGTTCTTCTCCTTGAGCTCCCTACTCAGACGATTCAGCTTCCTAAAAAGAACGTTCGCGGTGTTCTCCATCTCTTCCATCTTGATCTCCCAGAAATTCTCTGTTCTGTATCTTTCCCAGGCTTCGTTCCACTCGTCGGTGATCTCCCACACCAATTGAATGGCTTTTACGTCCTGTCGAAGTAATTTTCCTACGTGAAAGCAACGAACGACATTCATTATATTGTCTTTTTTATAATACCTGTTCCAATTGTATCAGTTCGAGGGAATCTGGCTGATTGATCTCAAACACCATCAGCTGCGATTTCAGCTTGCTTTCTCTTCTTTTCAGAGACGAAATTTCACGATCCGTGTGACTCAACCAGGCGAACGCATCTGTCATTGGGCAAATGGCAAGATCATTTTCATTGCTCTCCAAGTTCAAACGAAAATGATTTGCACTAAAAATGAATGTTCGTTCAATTTCTATTTCCACTGAATTTATATTCCCTGTTCACATTGTTGCGGTTCATTAAACGTCAGTATAATAAACGAGCATTCGTTCGTTCGGTCTAAACCCATCATTATACCAGTCATGTAAAAATTGGCGTGTTTGATAGATTATTCTGAATAAAAAGGAATCATACGATTCACCTATTTTTGATTCGTTTAAAAAAAAAAATGGATTTTACACTTTATTATTCGTGTAAATTAAAGGAGGGTGTTCAAAACGACCTCTCTCCAGTATATAATATGCATAGTAGAAATAAAAAAACAGCACGCAATGTCATTAACGAAGTGAAATTAACTGGAATGGACTGGCGACGATCATTAAATCTTTGAACAAAACTATATTTACAAGATGGAAGTTGTCACTTTGAACGTCTCCTTTAATCTAAAAAAAATATACAAAAGGTGAAAAGTTATTTATTTGTGTTTCAATTGTATAAAGTAACATCCACTTTTTGAAATACGACTTAGTTATTGAGTTTCCTCCTGAGACACCCCCAGTGTAAAACCAAGGTAATCAATTAATAGTTGTCAATTTTGTTACTGGTTCGAAGATGATACTGCTAGTGAAACATTAATTGCATGTAGGAAAAGAATCTGGTCAACGTGATTTATTACGCTTCTCGTTTATGATTCTCAATCGTAATAGTTTAATGCAAAAGTGATGTAAGTCAAGAGAGTTAATTTCTGAGTAATGAGGCATGAAGTATGAAAGTTCTGTAGAATCCAATACCGTCAAAGAGTGTTGCGTCTCTTTCGTGTGATCACATAAAACTTTCGAAATATGCTGTTGAAATCAAATATGCATAAAAACCTACACCGCTTTTGCATCGAACATAATTTCAATTTCGTATGTATATTCAAGCCACTGAGAAACTAAATCGATCTGCGTTACTTTCTAAAGACATCCTAAATTTGTGTGAGTTATTTATTTGTTTGTTTAATGGAAAAGTTCATTGAAAAAAGAAGAAAAAAAAAGTGACAAAATATGAAAGAAATATTATTTCTTTTATTTTATGTCGTATTTGCTTCGCGAATTTTAGTCCGAGATCAACACTAAACGTACCAAGCGGGGTCAAATGCGGGCCCCTTTTCAAAATTTACTTTAAAATCGTACATTCGTTGTTATTTCTTTCGCTTAATCTGACTTTTTGTAAAATTCTTATATTACCTGATTATTCAATTTCTCGTTTTCTGTTCTTCTCTTAGCTTATTTTTTACCG